AAGAATATTCAGAATCATAGCAAGTATATGTATAAAAATAGGCAAAATTTTTAAAAAATAAAAATTGTCTCAGATATACTTAATACTAAAAGATAAAGACTGATGATATAATCTGAATAATATTAGACTAATTGTATTCTTAAAAACTTTTCACAAATATATAATCAAGATACTTATGAAAAGACTTGCAAAAACTTTTTTAAAATGAAATATATATATTAAAAAGTTCTAATTTTGCAGATTTTTTAGACAATTCTACCAAGAAGTTAATACATATTCTTAATACAATTATAAAGGATATAAAAACAACAAAATGAACTATAAATCTTACTTTAAGATATAAAAAAAAATTGATTTAATATTATTTAAAGCTTTACAAAAAATATTAGAAAGAATTAAATTAACTAAAATTATAATTAAGCTTTTAATAAATTTTTTGTAAATTAGCAATCTAGAATTATTACAAATCTAGATTTTACAAACTTTTTAAAATTCAAGAGAGAATTAAATAAGATAAAGTAATTTCACTCTTAATTTGGAGAATATTTTATAATCTTCTTCTTGAAAGAATTTAAAAAATACTAGTTTAGACTATATTACAAATTACAGAGACTATTCTAATTTAAACTTAAACTATATAATTAAAAGTTTATATAAACAAGCAGTAGTAATATTTGTAAATTGCAAAAAGCAAAGAACAAATAAAAAATACTTACAATTATAAAAGAATTCTTTAGAATAAATAATATTTAGATTAACAAAAAGAAAACAAAATTAATCACAATAAATACAGAAAACAACAATAAAATAAAACAAATTTTTTTAAAAATAAATAGATTTAGAAAGGAAAGAGAATGAAAATATTAAAATTTTTGAATTCTGGTTGAATAGCAAAATAAAGAAGATAGCTATTAAGACCAAAGCAAAAGAGATTATACAATTAATATCTAAAAATCTTATTATAAAGAAAATGATAATTAGATCATGCAAAATTAATTAATTGGTTTTCATAATTTGGCTGGGTCAAATTTTGAAATCTTGTAAAAAAAAATTTTTATATGTTTTAATAATCGGGTAGGCTTTTTAAAAAAATTTTAAAAAAAATTTATAAAATTTTTATATATGAAAATTAAAAAAAAAAGCCAGCTGGCTGGGTCTGTTTAAAAGTTTTGTGTTATGAAAACCAAGATATTAAATTTGTGTGGCCTTAGTTAAATATTCTATATAAACAATATATATATAATTTTCAAGTTGTGCTATATGCTACAAACAACAAAAATGAATAAAAAAAATGATTAACAATATATATAATTTAATAATCAGACTTGCAAAAAATAAGATCAAAATAGTATTATTAGCAAGAAATAGTATGATATACTACAGAAGCATAGATAACTACAACTTTCTGTAAAACTAACTTTTACTTAAACAGATTACAAGTTTAAATAGCTATTTTAACTCAACTAGGCCAGAAAAAATTCTAACTAAACTGAGGATTAAAGAAGAACTATCTCTTATTGGTGCTTTAGAAAACAACTAGCACAAAAAAATTTTAAAAATATATACTAAAATCTGAAAAAACAATCTAGTATGTTTAATAATATTAAGAGACACATATTATCCAATTATTTGCTTCAACAAAAATTTCATAATATTAATTGTTGTATAACTAATATCTAGAAATGACAAATAATTTAAAATATGATTTTAAAAATTATAATTGATTTAAGAATATTTTAATAAATTATAATGTAATTATAATCTGATTATATAATTTAAATATAAGTACATATATGTATAATATTATATAAATTCACTAAAACAAGTAGATTTTCTGGACTATTATTTTAGGTTTTAGTTAAATATTTGAATCCAATTAATTGGTGACAATCAAATTTTTAAATAAATTTTTCTTTGTATTAGTTGAACTTGTCTGCCAAGTTATCTTTATTCTAGCTTTTTCAGCTACTACAAAATGATACTGGTCTAACTTTAGATATATTCATAATCAAACTTGTGTATAGTTAGATATTGAGCAAATAAAAAAGCTTGTAACCATTTATCTAAATTTGTGAATCTGAAAAGAAGTTAAGGATGATGACAATATAGTTATGATAATTAATATGAGAAGAATAATTATTTATATATTGTATTTCTTATAATTAAATAATTCATTTGTAAAAACTTATTCAAAGAGATTTACATAGTGGTAATATTTTGTAAACCTTAGGCTTTGCAATAGGTTTGATAAAATTTAAAATGATTAAATATATTTCTTATATAATGCCTAATAAATTCACATCATTCTTGACTAGTAATTAAAATTAACCAATCAAAAGCAATATTTTTAATTTCAAACAAAATCTTAGTATTAGACATCAATGTTTTTTTAAAACTAATAAAAATGTTTTAAAAAAACAGTTTAACCTATTTCTTTACCATCTTTACCAATATCTTGTACAAATTTATCATGTTTTAATTTTATAAAATTCAAATTCTTATAACCTTATCAGAAATTGAATCTTATATCTATTAATACATAAGAATGTAACTTAGATAGAGATTATATTTAGCAGGAATAGTTTATACAACTATTCGAAACATATAATTTACCCAGATAATCTGGGTAGTTAAGAATATTCAGACGAAGATTTTCTTAGTGGTTAAAATCTCGTATTATATATTGTGGATTTCTGATTTTTGCTTGTTTTTTTAAACATCGGATATCAAGTAGAATGACATTTCAGATTCTGTTCTGAAAAAATTTTTCAAGAAGACTCTTTACTTCTATCGAATTTTAAAATAAAACGGGATAAAATTCCAAGCCCTTAATATTTTCTTAAAAAGTGCCTAACATCGCAACTCTGATTGCTAAGGCTTGAATGTCAAAATATGTTAATTTATTTATTATGTACTATAAGGTAAATATACCTAATTTGATGCAGTTCCTAATTTGACACATGACGATATCTTGTGAACTGTCGATAAGAATCACATAATTTTGATCGATAATTCTTGAGATACTCCATTTAACCAAAATAGCCCAAGGTAAATTTGACGCAGGGGTAAATGTTTATGATATATATCATGTGGTGTATCGATCAGAATCACAGGGTTTTTGTATTATTCTCAATAAGACAAATCGAATAGGTACCAAAATCTTGCAATTCTGATCAATACATCACATAATATTTATCGTAAACGTTTACCTGCGTCAAATTAGACATTATAACAAATTAGAAACATATTTTTTTAGACAACCTTTAATAAGTGATATCTCATGATTTAGTGATTAGAATCGATTTGTCTCGATGAGACGAATCGAAAGATACTAAAATCAGCCAGTTCTGATCAATATATTATCGAAAACGTTACCTGCATTCAAATAGGCATATCTACCTTATATTTTCGAAATGGATCAAAATGGCTAATAAAAATTTTGATGGCCATCTTAGCGTTACCAACATAAAACATGCGTTAGTATTAGGGTTGTGTATATATTTGCTTTAATTTTAGGTTATATTTGACCTTGAACTTTGAATTAACCAGATAAGTTTTTTAGATTGATTAGTTTTACCCGATTACTTTGGCACATTGATCTCACGTATATGAATCAATAAAAGGCTACATGATGACTATCAATTTGTATATCTGATATCAGATTTGCATACGTACATAATGTGAAAATTTTATATGACATCTTGAATGTCTGTAGATAATCTTCAAGTATTAAAAACAAATTCATAATATATACCTCAAAAGTTTAATTGCATTATGATAATAGTATTTGATAAATTACAATATTGCATAACCCATGTAATGTTGCAATAATGGGAAAATTCAATTAAATTTCTTTTTAAATTATATATTGCGCCTCACTTTCGTTATAGTATAGTAAAGCCTAATCAAAGGGCGCTCTCAAGCATCATTGATGAATAATCGTTTTCTAGAATTAAAATGCCTAAATAAATATATTGCGACCATCAAACAAACAAGCTACGTAATACGTAGCTAAATAAGGTTATGTATACGTAATATAATGCGATTATACTAAGTTGAGCAAAAGAGTAATTGTACTTCGTGTTAAATACTGTATAATTAAAAAAAATTAGAAAGTGAGGCAGATTCACATGTTTGATCTGTTTGATCGACACACAAGTCACCAATCTTAATTGAAAAAAAGATATTTAAACCTACCCTTGAGACCAAAAAGTAGGTTTATATATAATGATAGCTCCAATCCTAATTCAAGGACATCCATAACCTTAATAAATGAACTGCCTCACTTTCCTTTTTGAGGTATTTTTGGGGAGACTACGTACGTACGTCATCATGGTAAATAATTTTGTAGTATATTGGGTATATTGGGTATATTGGGTATATTGGGTATATTGCGTAATACAATGATAATCATTAACTGCATAATTCAAGGTATTGGCTAAACTTGCATGCATGTACATTGATTTTCTTAAATACAGAAATATTCTTTACTACAATCAAAATCTTTTTGCGTATACGTTTGCCACTTTCATTTTGTTCAGCAGAAAAATTAAATTTATATACAATCTTATATGACTTATATGATTTTTAAATGCGGGTCTACGTAATAGTTATAAGCCAAAAAGTTCAATATAAAATATACCGTTTGAAGCTTTAATAATGAACACGTGTATATATAACCACCGCCTAATACAACCTAATACAACCTTTTTAGGTTCTTAGATCGAAAATCATTGATGGATAGACGCCAAACCATGCTACAATTAGTCTCGACAAGATACTAATTGGCACTTGGTTTTGGTCGTCACAAGGCTATTTACATAACATCGTTAGTTTCACGAACACAAAGAATCGAATTAGGAAGCTAACAGCAGATAAATCGTCGATAACAAATAAATGCTTTGTTCAAATGTGGGAATTTTTCCTCAGAGTGATTTCTTATCTCTTTTGTTTGTCAATTTTCCATTTTTTCCTTTTAACGATTGCAAAGTTTTTTGATAATGGTAGAATTTTTAGAAAAAGTTGGTACTGAGTTTGTAAACTACATCTCGGGTGATAAATCATCACCTGCGGATGTTCCAAGGATCTTTCGTTATGGATCATTCGCTGAGGTTAGAGAAAAAGCTTTCGCGAAATGGTATGTCAATGGCAAAGACTACTTTCATGCTGTTTCGGAGGCCATCTCTAATGCTGAACATGAAATCTTCATCGAAGATTGGTGGCTTTCTCCTGAATTGGTTAGTTTAATTGTTGGTTTTTTTTTTTTTTTTAATATAATAAAAAAAAATGTTATAATCTCGATTCATTCGGAGTTTTACAATGTGATTGAAATATTTCCAAAACTCGAGTTCCCGAATTTCATTCCCAAAGAACATAATGCCGGCAGAGTTAGTCGGCATTAGCTCAATGCTAGCCGATTCAATCGGTATTATGTCTTTTCGGAAATATGGCCCTCAAAAAATCGTACAATAGCCCTTACTTCAGTCTTCGTAGTATATCTTTAACTTTTAATTTGGAATTAGTATCTTCGTAGACCTCCTTATAAGAATGAAGAGTGGCGGCTTGATAGACTTCTTAAGAGAAAGGCGAAGCAAGGCGTAAAAATTTATGTTGTCCTTTACAGGGAGCTGGAACAAGCCTTAACTTTAAACTCGAAACATAGCAAAAAAGTATTAATAGAAGAAATGGATGGAAATATTCTTGGTAATGGATAATTGTGAATCTATTTAACGTCCTTTGAGATATTTACGTATATAAGCGAGGCATTAATCTTATATTGCATGTATAGTACAAAGACATCCTGATCATGGAATTGATGGTACTTTCTTTTGGGCGGTAAATTATTCCATACTTTATTCACTTTATTCTCTCCTCCATTATTTAATTATCAAAATAACCTAACTTTCTATTGCCTTTTAGCATCATGAGGTAATCTCTTTTATATTTATAATTATATTGAACGTTTCCTTAATTCGTAAAGCCTAATCATCTAAATTTTTCTTTATTTAGAAAATTTGTGTTGTTGATCGCCACATTGCCTTCATTGGTGGATTGGACTTGTGCTTTGGTCGTTACGATATCGGTGAACACCCACTTGCTGACTTTACTAAAACATCCGACTACTGCTCTATCAGGCCAAGCACAGCACGAGATTACCCGATAGTCACCTGTTACGTTTAACCAATCAAAATCGTGAAATTTGCTTAATCCCGGATCAGTCCGAAAATCAAAACAAATGATTAAACTCAATTATCTCAAAATTGTTTATATTGCAAAATGGGCCCTTTTAATATGAAAGACCCCATATATATTCTTTTATTATAAAGTCTAATCCTAAATCCTACCTTAACAAAAACTAAAAAAAAATGCATCCAAAACTTTCATGCTAAAAAGGTTCAATTTCCAGATTCAACCGCAATGCCAATTTTATATAAACCAGTTATTGTCGTATACAAGATCCTCTACAAAAGTAAATTTATTATTCTCGGCTGCGAATTGCGGAAGTTACCAAATATGTACGTATTTAGAACAAATGAGAAATATGCATGCTCTTAAAAGTTTCATTTAATGATATAAACTCTTAATTATGTACTATACCCGGGGTTTACTATAGGTATTGTAGGTTTTAGCATTGATGAAACATGAGAGACCAGGGTCTTCTTGTATGGCAATTTACAGTACATATTAAAGTTTAGAAACTGATCTTTTCGATTGTGTTCGACATAAAACTCGATTCAAGAATTTCGATCTAAGAACCTAAAAAGGTTGTATTAGGTTGTATTAGGCGGTGGTTATATATACACGTGTTCATTATTAAA